CATGATGAACGTTATTAACTCTCTAAAGTCATGATGAACGTTATTAACTCTCTAAAGTCATGATGAACGTTATTAACTCTCTAAAGTCATGATGAACGTTATTAACTCTCTAAAGTCATGATGAACGTTATTAACTCTCTAAAGTCATGATGAACGTTATTAACTCTCTAAAGTCATGATGAACGTTATTAACTCTTTAAAGTCATGATGAACGTTATTAACTCTCTAAAGTCATGATGAACGTTATTAACTCTCTAAAGTCCTGATGAACGTTATTAACTCTCTAAAGTCATGATGAACGTTATTAACTCTCTAAAGTCATGATGAACGTTATTAACTCTCTAAGTCATGATGAACGTTATTAACTCTCTAAAGTCATGATGAACGTTATTAACTCTTTAAGTCATGATGAACGTTATTAACTCTCTAAAGTCATGATGAACGTTATTAACTTTTAAAGTCATGATGAACGTTATTAACTCTTTAACTAAAGTCATGATGAACGTTATTAACTCTCTAAAGTCATGATGAACGTTATTAACTCTTTAACTAAAGTCATGATGAATTTTATTAACTCTTTAAAGTCATGATGAACGTTATTAACTCTAAAGTCATGATGAACGTTATTAACTCTCTAAAGTCATGATGAACGTTATTAACTCTCTAAAGTCATGATGAACGTTATTAACTCTCTAAAGTCATGATGAACGTTATTAACTCTCTAAAGTCATGATGAACGTTATTAACTCTCTAAAGTCATGATGAACGTTATTAACTCTCTAAAGTCTGATGAACGTTATTAAACTCTCTAAAGTCATGATGAACGTTATTAACTCTCTAAAGTCATGATGAACGTTATTAACTCTCTAAAGTCATGATGAACGTTATTAACTCTCTAAAGTCATGATGAACGTTATTAACTCTCTAAAGTCATGATGAACGTTATTAACTCTCTAAAGTCATGATGAACGTTATTAACCTCTAAAGTCATGATGAACGTTATTAACTCTCTAAAGTCATGATGAACGTTATTAACTCTCTAAAGTCATGATGAACGTTATAACTCTTAAAGTCATGATGAACGTTATTAACTCTCTAAAGTCATGATGAACGTTATTAACTCTCTAAAGTCATGATGAACGTTATTAACTCTCTAAAGTCATGATGAACGTTATTAACTCTTAAAGTCATGATGAACGTTATTAACTCTCTAAAGTCATGATGAACGTTATTAACTCTTAAAGTCATGATGAACGTTATTAACTCTTAAAGTCATGATGAACGTTATTAACTCTCTAAAGTCATGATGAACGTTATTAACTCTCTAAAGTCATGATGAACGTTATTAACTCTCTAAAGTCATGATGAACGTTATTAACTCTCTAAAGTCCTGATGAACGTTATTAACTCTCTAAAGTCATGATGAACGTATTAACTCTCTAAAGTCCTGATGAACGTTATTAACTCTCTAAAGTCATGATGAACGTTATTAACTCTCTAAAGTCCTGATGAACGTTATTAACTCTCTAAAGTCATGATGAACGTTATTAACTCTCTAAAGTCATGATGAACGTTATTAACTCTCTAAAGTCATGATGAACGTTATTAACTCTTTAAAGTCATGATGAACGTTATTAACTCTCTAAAGTCATGATGAACGTTATTAACTCTCTAAAGTCCTGATGAACGTTATTAACTCTCTAAAGTCATGATGAACGTTATTAACTCTCTAAAGTCATGATGAACGTTATTAACTCTCTAAAGTCATGATGAACGTTATTAACTTTAAAGTCATGATGAACGTTATTAACTCTCTAAAGTCATGATGAACGTTATTAACTCTCTAAAGTCATGATGAACGTTATTAACTCTAAAGTCATGATGAACGTTATTAACTCTCTAAAGTCATGATGAACGTTATTAACTCTTTAAAGTCATGATGAACGTTATTAACTCTCTAAAGTCATGATGAACGTTATTAACTCTTTAAAGTCATGATGAACGTTATTAACTCTTTAACTAAAGTCATGATGAACGTTATTAACTCTCTAAAGTCATGATGAACGTTATTAACTCTTTAACTAAAGTCATGATGAACGTTATTAACTCTCTAAAGTCATGATGAACGTTATTAACTCTCTAAAGTCATGATGAACGTTATTAACTCTCTAAAGTCATGATGAACGTTTATTAACTCTCTAAAGTCATGATGAACGTTATTAACTCTCTAAAGTCATGATGAACGTTATTAACTCTCTAAAGTCATGATGAACGTTATTAACTCTCTAAAGTCATGATGAACGTTATTAACTCTCTAAAGTCCTGATGAACGTTATTAACTCTCTAAAGTCCTGATGAACGTTATTAACTCTCTAAAGTCCTGATGAACGTTATTAACTCTCTAAAGTCATGATGAACGTTATTAACTCTCTAAAGTCATGATGAACGTTATTAACTCTTTAAAGTCCTGATGAACGTTATTAACTCTCTAAAGTCATGATGAACGTTATTAACTCTTTAAAGTCCTGATGAACGTTATTAACTCTCTAAAGTCCTGATGAACGTTATTAACTCTCTAAAGTCCTGATGAACGTTATTAACTCTCTAAAGTCATGATGAACGTTATTAACTCTCTAAAGTCCTGATGAACGTTATTAACTCTCTAAAGTCATGATGAACGTTATTAACTCTCTAAAGTCATGATGAACGTTATTAACTCTCTAAAGTCATGATGAACGTTATTAACTCTCTAAAGTCATGATGAACGTTATTAACTCTCTAAAGTCATGATGAACGTTATTAACTCTTAAAGTCATGATGAACGTTATTAACTCTCTAAAGTCATGATGAACGTTATTAACTCTCTAAAGTCATGATGAACGTTATTAACTCTCTAAAGTCATGATGAACGTTATTAACTCTTTAAAGTCATGATGAACGTTATTAACTCTCTAAAGTCATGATGAACGTTTATTAACTCTCTAAAGTCATGATATGAACGTTATTAACTCTAAAGTCCTGATGAACGTTATTAACTCTCAAAGTCATGATGAACGTTATTAACTCTCTAAAGTCATGATGAACGTTATTAACTCTCTAAAGTCATGATGAACGTTATTAACTTTAAAGTCATGATGAACGTTATTAACTCTCTAAAGTCATGATGAACGTTATTAACTCTCTAAAGTCATGATGAACGTTATTAACTCTCTAAAGTCATGATGAACGTTATTAACTCTCTAAAGTCATGACTGAACTAACTCTCTATGATTATTAACTCTCTAAAGTCCTGATGAACGTTATTAACTCTCTAAAGTCATGATGAACGTTATTAACTCTCTAAGTCATGATGAACGTTATTAACTCTCTAAAGTCATGATGAACGTTATTAACTCTTTAAAGTCATGATGAACGTTATTAACTCTCTAAAGTCATGATGAACGTTATTAACTCTCTAAAGTCCTGATGAACGTTATTAACTCTTTAAAGTCATGATGAACGTTATTAACTCTCTAAAGTCATGATGAACGTTATTAACTCTCTAAAGTCATGATGAACGTTATTAACTCTAAAGTCATGATGAACGTTATTAATAAAGTCATGATGAACGTTATTAACTCTCTAAAGTCATGATGAACGTTATTAACTCTCTAAAGTCCTGATGAACGTTATTAACTCTTTAAAGTCATGATGAACGTTATTAACTCTCTAAAGTCATGATGAACGTTATTAACTCTCTAAAGTCATGATGAACGTTATTAACTCTCTAAAGTCCTGATGAACGTTATTAACTCTCTAAAGTCCTGATGAACGTTATTAACTCTCTAAAGTCATGATGAACGTTATTAACTCCTAAAGTCATGATGAACGTTATTAACTCTCTAAAGTCATGATGAACGTTATTAACTCTCTAAAGTCATGATGAACGTTATTAACTCTTTAAAGTCATGATGAACGTTATTAACTCTCTAAAGTCATGATGAACGTTATTAACTCTCTAAAGTCATGATGAACGTTATTAACTCTCTAAAGTCATGATGAACGTTATTAACTCTCTAAAGTCCTGATGAACGTTATTAACTCTCTAAAGTCATGATGAACGTTATTAACTCTCTAAAGTCATGATGAACGTTATTAACTCTCTAAAGTCATGATGAACGTTATTAACTCTCTAACGTCATGATGAACGTTATTAACTCTCTAAAGTCATGATGAACGTTATTAACTCTCTAAAGTCATGATGAACGTTATTAACTCTCTAAAGTCATGATGAACGTTATTAACTCTCTAAAGTCATGATGAACGTTATTAACTCTCTAAAGTCCTGATGAACGTTTATTAACTCTCTAAGTCATGATGAACGTTATTAACTCTCTAAATTCATGATGAACGTTATTAACTCTCTAAAGTCATGATGAACGTATTAACTCTCTAAAGTCATGATGAACGTTATTAACTCTCTAAAGTCATGATGAACGTTATTAACTCTCTAAAGTCATGATGAACGTTATTAACTCTCTAAAGTCCTGATGAACGTTATTAACTCTCTAAAGTCATGATGAACGTTATTAACTCTCTAAAGTCATGATGAACGTTATTAACTCTCTAAAGTCATGATGAACGTTATTAACTCTCTAAAGTCATGATGGAACGTATTAACCCTTTAACTAAAGTCTTTATACATTTTATTAACCCTTCAGAAGACCCCTATCATGGTGATTTACAACTGATCCAACTTTACTTTCATTTTACTCTATTAATAACTTAATTGGTGAATGTATTAATTATGTAATTGGTTACTTAATTGGTTTCCTCAGTCCCATTAAACACACTGGGCCCATGGGGGGGAAACAGACATTTATATTTAGGGTTTATTTTTATTTCTCTGGGTAAATATTGATGTTTACTGAATGATTGTAATTTATAGTGTAAACTCCCAGCATGCACTCTGCTCCACTTTGTTTCCGCTTCTGGGCTCTGATTGGCTGTTGCACTCTGACCTCATTATGTCTGAAAACAGGAAGCACGTGTTTCACTTCCTGTTAATAATTAAATTATGTTTTGATGTCATCTGTTCTAACACGGCAGCGACCAATCAGGCGCTGCGGCTGCTGGGGGTGGGCGGGCCTCCTTTAATTATTGATCATCGCCCTCTTTCTCGAAACTTAAATTATTAATAAACAAATTATGAATAAATAATGACTTTATTGCTCCACTTCGTCCACAGAACAATAACACAATAACATATTACAAAAATATATATTATATATAATATATAAAGTATTATATACAATATCTTATCAAGTGTTAGTGTTTCATAAAAGCCTTTCTGTTAAATAAGAGAATGTAAAGCTGGACAACCAAGTCCTTTGTCTCATCTCTCTCAAACACACACACACACACACACACACACACACACACACACACACACACACACACGCACACACGCACACACACACACACCTTATACCTAGTTTCTTGTTTGAATGGTGAAACACTGATTTATTGACTCAAAGGAAGTGATTCATCTCAGCTTCACATGTTTAAGATCTTCCTCAGAGACTGATGTGTAAATAAATACACACTGTGGTGGCGTTTTAATCCTTGTCTACATGTTAATAGCCACCTCTCTGTCGGGGTTGTGGGTTTTGACGCGCCTCTCTTTGTTTCCAAACATATTAAGCAGAGATCGTGGTTGAATCAGATGAGCTTTATTCATTGGTCCAGACGGCATATAAACAGGAGGACACATTTCTTCGATTCATACTTAATAAAGGTTTCAGTCTCAAAAGGAACAAAAAGAACACGGTCAAAAGACTTTTCCGTTTCCCTGTCTCATCAACCCTCAGCTGTGTCCTATCAACCTACCATATATAGACATATAGCCATGCACGTGATACTGACGCACATATAACAAATAATAAGTGAGCCTTAAATTAATACATTTTAAACCATAGTGTGACTCACAAAAATACCTGATAATCAAGAGTTAAATCTACTTTATATTATTATTATCAAGCCTAACATTCAGACAATAATAACAAAAGGAAAATGGCTCTAACATACCAGCCCCTAATTGCTTATTACATAGCCATTACCAATAATAATATATCAAAAGAGTCATTTTAACAAAACATATAACATCCATCCGTCGCATATTTGTATACTCAAGTCCATAGTATATTGTATACTTTCAAGTCCATGTAAGACCATTACTGAGTGTGTAGGTCTAGTACTAATTGTCTGTAATGTTCTGCTGTTCAAAAGGCAGCCTTTGATGGGGGGGGGTAGGAGACCAAGAGTCTAGTCCTTTGGTCTAACAGTCAGAGGTGCACGTGACTGAAAGGCTACAATCATAAGAGAATATATAATATGAAACAGATACTATTAAAACACTGAGACTTTAATATAACAAAGAGAGACTGACCTCGCTGCCTCTTCCTCCGTCTGCTCGCTCGGACATCTATAATTCATGAGAGGCTTTTACTCTGAAGGGACAGGAAGAGGCTTTTACTCTGAAGGGACAGGCAGAGGCTTTTACTCTGAAGGGACAGGAAGAGGCTTTTACTCTGAAGGGACAGGAAGAGGCTTTTACTCTGAAGGGACAGGAAGAGGCTTTTACTCTGAAGGGACAGGAAGAGGCTTTTACTCTGAAGGGACAGGCTTTTTTTTCAGGCTGTGTCTATCACACTCTGAGTAATGTAGAGCTGTCTCTCTCTGAGTAATGTAGAGCTGTCTCTCTCTGAGTAATGTAGAGCTGTCTCTCTGAGTAATGTAGAGCTGTCTCTCTCTGAGTAATGTAGAGCTGTCTCTCTCTGAGTAATGTAGAGCTGTCTCTCTCTGAGTAATGTAGAGCTGTCTCTCTCTGAGTAATGTAGAGCTGTCTCTCTCTGAGTAATGTAGAGCTGTCTCTCTGAGTAATGTAGAGCTGTCTCTCTCTGAGTAATGTAGAGCTGTCTCTCTCTGAGTAATGTAGAGCTGTCTCTCTCTGAGTAATGTAGAGCTGTCTCTCTGAGTAATGTAGAGCTGTCTCTCTCTGAGTAATGTAGAGCTGTCTCTCTCTGAGTAATGTAGAGCTGTGTCTCTCTGAGTAATGTAGAGCTGTCTCTCTGAGTAATGTAGAGCTGTCTCTCTCTGAGTAATGTAGAGCTGTCTCTCTGAGTAATGTAGAGCTGTCTCTCTGAGTAATGTAGAGCTGTCTCTCTCTGAGTAATGTAGAGCTGTGTCTCTCTGAGTAATGTAGAGCTGTCTCTCAGAGTAATGTAGAGCTGTCTCTCTCTGAGTAATGTAGAGCTGTCTCTCTCTGAGTAATGTAGAGCTGTCTCTCAGAGTAATGTAGAGCTGTCTCTCTCTGAGTAATGAAGAGCTGTCTCTCTGAGTAATGTAGAAGCTGTCTCTCTCTCTGAGTAATGTAGAGCTGTCTCTCTGAGTAATGTAGTAAGCTGTCTCATCTCTGAGTAATGTAGAGCTGTCTCTCTCTGAGTAATGTAGAGCTGTCTCTCAGAGTAATGTAGAGCTGTCTCTCTCTGAGTAATGTAGAGCTGTCTCTCTGAGTAATGTAGAGCTGTCTCTCTCTGAGTAATGTAGAGCTGTCTCTCTGAGTAATGTAGAGCTGTCTCTCTGAGTAATGTAGAGCTGTCTCTCTGAGTAATGTAGAGCTGTCTCTCTCTGAGTAATGTAGAGCTGTCTCTCTCTGAGTAATGTAGAGCTGTCTCTCTGAGTAATGTAGAGCTGTCTCTCTGAGTAATGTAGAAGCGTTCCTCTCTCTGAGTAATGTAGAGCTGTCTCTCTGAGTAATGTAGAGCTGTCTCTCTCTGAGTAATGTAGAGCTGTCTCTCTCAGAGTAATGTAGAGCTGTCTCTCTGAGTAATGTAGAGCTGTCTCTCTGAGTAATGTAGAGCTGTCTCTCTCTGAGTAATGTAGAGCTGTCTCTCTGAGTAATGTAGAGCTGTCTCTCTGAGTAATGTAGAGCTGTCTCTCTGAGTAATGTAGAGCTCTCTCTCTGAGTAATGTAGAGCTGTCTCTCTCAGAGTAATGTAGAGCTGTCTCTCTGAGTAATGTAGAGCTGTCTCTCTCTCTGAGTAATGTAGAGCTGTCTCTCTCTGAGTAATGTAGAGCTGTCTCTCTGAGTAATGTAGAGCTGTCTCTCTCAGAGTAATGTAGAGCTGTCTCTCTGAGTAATGTAGAGCTGTCTCTCTGAGTAATGTAGAGCTGTCTCTCTCTGAGTAATGTAGAGCTGTCTCTCTCAGAGTAATGTAGAGCTCTCTCTCAGAGTAATGTAGAGCTGTCTCTCTGAGTAATGTAGAGCTGTCTCTCTCAGAGTAATGTAGAGCTGTCTCTCTCAGAGTAATGTAGAGCTGTCTCTCTGAGTAATGTAGAGCTGTCTCTCTGAGTAATGTAGAGCTGTCTCTCTGAGTAATGTAGAGCTGTCTCTCTCTGAGTAATGTAGAGCTTGTCTCTCTCTGAGTAATGTAGAGCTGTCTTCTCTGAGTAATGTAGAGCTGTCTCTCTTGAGTAATGTAGAGCTGTCTCTCTGAGTAATGTAGAGCTGTCTCTCTGAGTAATGTAGAGCTGTCTCTCTGAGTAATGTAGAGCTGTGTCTCTCTGAGTAATGTAGAGCTGTCTCTCTGAGTAATGTAGAGCTGTCTCTCTCTGAGTAGTGTAGAGCTGTCTCTCTCGAGTAATGTAGAGCTGTCTCTCTGAGTAATGTAGAGCTGTCTCTCTGAGTAATGTAGAGCTGGTCTCTCTGAGTAATGTAGAGCTGTCTCTCTGAGTAATGTAGAGCTGTCTCTCTCTGAGTAATGTAGAGGCTCTCTCTCTGAGTAATGTAGAGCTCTCTCTCTGAGTAATGTAGAGCTGTCTCTCTGAGTAATGTAGAGCTGTCTCTCTCTGAGTAATGTAGAGCTGTCTCTCTGAGTAATGTAGAGCTGTCTCTCTGAGTAATGTAGAGCTGTCTCTCTGAGTAATGTAGAGCTGTCTCTCTCTGAGTAATGTAGAGCTGTCTCTCTCTGAGTAATGTAGAGCTGTGTCTCTCTGAGTAATGTAGAGCTGTGTCTCTCAGAGTAATGTAGAGCTGTCTCTCTCTGAGTAATGTAGAGCTGTCTCTCTGAGTAATGTAGAGCTGTCTCTCTGAGTAATGTAGAGCTGTCTCTCTGAGTAATGTAGAGCTGTCTCTCTCTGAGTAATGTAGAGCTCTCTCTCTGAGTAATGTAGAGCTGTCTCTCTGAGTAATGTAGAGCTGTCTCTCTCTGAGTAATGTAGAGCTGTCTCTCTGAGTAATGTAGAGCTGTGTGTCTCTGAGTAATGTAGAGCTGTCTCTCTCTGAGTAATGTAGAGCTGTCTCTCTGAGTAATGTAGAGCTGTGTGTCTCTGAGTAATGTAGAGCTGTCTCTCTCTGAGTAATGTAGAGCTGTCTCTCTGAGTAATGTAGAGCTGTCTCTCTCTGAGTAATGTAGAGCTGTCTCTCTCTGAGTAATGTAGAGCTGTCTCTCTGAGTAATGTAGAGCTGTGTGTCTCTGAGTAATGTAGAGCTGTCTCTCTCTGAGTAATGTAGAGCTGTCTCTCTGAGTAATGTAGAGCTGTGTCTCTCAGAGTAATGTAGAGCTGTGTCTCTCTGAGTAATGTAGAGCTGTCTCTCTGAGTAATGTAGAGCTGTCTCTCTGAGTAATGTAGAGCTGTCTCTCTCTGAGTAATGTAGAGCTGTCTCTCTGAGTAATGTAGAGCTGTGTCTCTCAGAGTAATGTAGAGCTGTGTCTCTCTGAGTAATGTAGAGCTGTCTCTCTGAGTAATGTAGAGCTGTCTCTCTGAGTAATGTAGAGCTGTCTCTCTGAGTAATGTAGAGCTGTCTCTCTCTGAGTAATGTAGAGCTGTCTCTCTGAGTAATGTAGAGCTGTCTCTCTCTGAGTAATGTAGAGCTGTCTCTCTGATTAATGTAGAGCTCTCTCTCTGAGTAATGTAGAGCTGTCTCTCTGAGTAATGTAGAGCTGTCTCTCTGAGTAATGTAGA